GATCCAAGTCTGCATTGTTGCTCCCCAGGAAGGCTCTCAGAAGAAGCTAAGGAAGGAGGACTGCGAGTCCTTTGCTGGGGCCCTGCCCTCCTATTCTTTAGGACACATCTGCCTAGGATCCCAGTTCTTTCACTGCAGGGGGATCTGCACTGCACCTTTACAAGAAAGGGGCCAAGGCGTGAAATGAGGGCATAAGGACAGCCCATCTCAAGTTTCAGCTGAGATTTAGAGTACAGCCTTCAAAGCAGGGGGTTCATTTCTGTTGTTTGGGTTTGCTTTGCATTTGTCTTAAATTTCTATATAATTTATGACACCGGAAGTCAGTTGCATTTGCTTCCCAGCATTCCCTCTCCCTTCCCCACATTGTTCTTTGGGGAATCCATGTCCTTGTCTAGTCCTGGTCCATTTGGTTCAGGGAGGGTATAAAACATCTGAGTTGTCACTGACAGCACATTATCCCCATGACTGCAGGGACTAGCTAAGAGATGCCCACTTTAAACAGGTCAGACCAGTGCAAATTGTGAACCTGGAGCTCTCACTGTTGCAATCAGATGAGAGGTACTGTCTTTGGGGTTGATAAACTGGTAAATAGAAGTTGGGGATGCCTGTGGCCATTCTTGCTTTCCTATGTGTTGGTTTCATTCTCAGGTCAACTTTCCATATGGTAGCCAGGAAAACAGATGGAGACAGAGGAAAAGAGGGAAGTAATTTGGTGACACTTTTGAGTGGTTCTGAATTCATCTGTCTCAACTGTATCTCTGGACTTCTCAATTAAATGAATTCAAAAATTCCCTTTTTTTACCCATAAAGTTAAGTGACTAAGTCAGAGCAGACAATGAAAGGAGCCCTCCTGGATTGAAAACTACGGGTCTCCAGGAGACGCCCCTGTCTCACAGGGTCTAGACATGTGCCTTGGTGTAATAAGTTCATTTCATGTGCATTTTTCCATCAGGGTAATAATGTCCTCCACAACTAAGACACTAATTTCTAATGTGCTATGTTTGGCATTTGTAAAGTCACTGTGTCTACTTTGCTTTGAGTCCTGGAATAGGCTGATACACTGGCAATTTCCTTAAACAAATTTACAGTCTCTAGCTTGGTACTTTACTTTCTTTTCATGCTATAAATCTACATAATTCGCATGAGCTCATGCCATTCAGATACATTCTTTCCTCATTGTCCTTGTTTTTCTCCATTTTGAGTAATTGCATTCATTAATCTGTTTTCTCTTATTCCCACCATCCTCTCTTCCAATACATGCCCTTGACTATACCAGTCTATTTAATACACCTAAACTTTTTTTTTCATTTTCCACATCTCTTCTTATCATATAATGAGCATGAATGTAACCATTATCTCTATACCGCCAGTGAACATTTATAAGGCCAAGTACTTTGCTATATCATTTCTTTAATCCTCTCAGACACCCCATGAGATAAGTGTGACTTTGGCTCAATTATTCAACTTCTCTTGTCCTCACCTTCCTCATCTGTAAAATGGACATAATAAATATCAGAGGCGAAGCTAGAAACTGGTTGATATTTATGTAAACCTGTGTTCTAACAAAATAGACTCCTCTACATGTGTGCCAATTCTAGGTCACACAGCCTTCAAGCAAGCTAGTTGGTTTCAGATCTCTGATGACATGGTTCACCGATGACTGATACAGGCTGCCTTGAGGGCCACACTCAGCTCTCTGAGAATGCTTTTGCAGGAAACACACAGAAGAGATGGAGAATGAAGGGAAACAAGAAGTCTAGAGAAAGCAGATAGTCAAAGCAAGACACATCCGTACATAAATATAAGAAGTTTCACAGAATGGACCCCTCTTCTTTCCAAATTTCCCCTCAAAGAATGAAGTAGAAAATAAAATACTTTTAGAAGAAAATATGGAAAGTGTGAGAAATAAAAGTGCACAGACAATGTGGTAACTAGGAAAAAAGGTGACTCTAAATCTGTACCCTCTTCCATACTTGAAAAGATTAAAATCTGGATTTCATGAAAAACCAGTAAGATTTAGAGGAGGTACAACTGCAAATATTCCTATCTAAAGGCTTTGGATAGGGATCTGCTTTCCCTCTAGGTTCTTGACAATGCTGTGATAAGAACTAATCTATTCTTTCTCCCACCAAAATGCAGTGCAGATAATAATTTGTAGAGTATGATGGGAAGCGGAGGTGGGGAGTGAGGTTAGATGCAAATCTGAGGGGTTACCAGCTGTCCACCCTTCATCTCCACTTCACTAGGAAATGGGGTTCAACAGGGCTTTCTGTGAGAGCTCTGCTCTTCATTACTTGCACACACAGAAAATTATGCAGGTGAACCTTCTGCCAAGTTAGAAAGTGGCAGCTGAAAAGAGGGTGTGTGCTAGGAGGTAGGCCATGCCATAATTTGGGGTTGTTTTTAACAAGACTATTACAGAAGGTTCTCAAGTCATCCTGGAAGACTAGAGATCATGGGGCTAGAGTATGGGTTTAGTAAACAGAAAATCTCCAAGTACTGGAAGGGAAACAGCCAATATTTACTGAGGAGCTGAGAAGAATCTTATTTTTAATCTATTTACCTGGAAGAACTGAGAAATCGAAATCATTTGGTTTCTAAAAGGGCAACTAGACCAAGACTGATCATTTTAACTGAATGGACAAAGAAGAATAACAACAACATAATAATCTCCACTACAGAGATGGGAGAGTCTTTTAAAGTTAAAAAGAGGAAAGGGAAGAAAAAAAGAAGACTAAAGGGGAAAAGAGAAAAAGAGAATCACACACACACACACACACACACACACACACACACACACACTCTCTCAAATGCTCCAGAAGGTAGTGGAGATGAGGAGGAGGTGAACCCCACAGGGCAGTAGAGCTGCTCTGGAGCCAATGTTATTCATTACAAACACAAATTAGATCATAAAAGGATTCGTTATTTGTATAAAAGTTGTAGCTGTTAAAAAAGATATACATATCATTTGATTCTCATGGCACTCTTGTGACAAGTAAGATATTGTTTAGCGACTTGCCTTTTTTTCCACTTGATATCATGGACAATTTTTTGTGTCAGTATACATAGATTAATCTACTTCATTGTAAACTCCACAGAGTATTCCACACAGTAAATAATTTAGCCATTCCCTGCTGATATGGTTTGGCTGTGCTCTCACCCACATCTCATCTTGAACTGCAGTTCCCATAATCCCCACTTGTCATGGGAAGGACCCAGTGGGAGGTAACTGAATCATGGGGCCAGTTACCTCCATGTTGTTCTTGTGACAGTGAGTTCTCACGAGATCTGATGGTTTTATATGGGGCTTTCCCCGCTTCACTCTACACTTCTCCTTGCTGCCACCATGTGAAGAAGGACAGGTTTGTTTCCCCTTCTGCCATGATTGTAAGTTTCCTGAGGCCTCCCTAGCTATGCTGAACTGTAAGTCAATTAAACCTCCTTTATAAATTACCCAGTCTTGGGTATGTCTTTATTAGCAGCGTGAAAACAGACTAATACACCTACCATAAATGCTCTTGCATGTGCTTTTGGTGAAGCTGTAGTTAGGATCACCAGTTTATGGGTCAGAAATGGAGGCTCACAAAGTTGAAGACTCCACAAACAGTTGGTGCCCTCACTCTTAAGCCCCAGTTCTCCAGAGATCCCCCAGACTGGCAGTGGGTATGGCTTTGACTGCAGAGAGAAGCTGAAAATGCCTCCTTTTTCAAGGGACTCACCTGCTCCAGGTCGTCAGCTGACCTTTTGTTTTCTCCCGCTGGATCCTGATAGGGTAGGACAAAGAGTTCAGCAGTGGTGGGTAAGCCGGGAAGCACCGCCACCAGGATGTGTTGACCTGGAACCCCTGTGGCCTAAGGGACAGACACAGGGGCTCACATTAGTGCTGCAGACAAGAAAGCTGAGAAGGGACCAAGTATTTGGTGGAGGGATCAGGGGTAGGCAGAAGACACAATAAGGGGCCTGAAAGCAGAGGTCTGGGTGTATCAGGCAGAGGATGTGAGAGGCAGCACTGGGCTATAGGTCCAGGCTCCAGAGTCAGGCTGTCTATGATTTAATCCCAGCTTCAACACCATGAGACCTTAAGCTCATTGCTCATGTTCTCTATGCCTACATTCCTTTAAATAGAAGATAGGACAGTTGCAGTATTTGCCTTGTGCATGGGTGATTTTGAGGATTAAATGAGTTACACATGAAGCATTTATGGTAGAGCCTGGGGATTCAAATGTTAGCTCTTCTTCCTAGAGAGCACCTCCAAGGTGGGGACCCCGCCAGTGAAAAGACCTTCACTTTATCATCTGCCCCTCATGCCTTAGCCCTTTCTAACCTAGCTTCCTCCTTCATCATCCCACTGAAGGTACTCTTCAAGTAGACCCAATCACATCCTAACCACCTAACCTAAGAGGACACCCTCATATCACAACCCTCAGGAGGGCCCTGTTGACTTTTCTGCAGCATCAGACCTGATGACCAACCCTGTTCCCTGAAGCACCCTGAGTCCTCCACTTGGCCACACTGATTCTTCTGTTAAAATTACAGATATCACTCAAGGACTTCTTGTTTATCCTAGCTCACTGTTCTCTCTCTTGAGCTTATACCCCAGGGTTTCCCCTGAATTCTCTCTCTAGATGCTTCTAGAATCAATAGCTATAATCCTAGCTTCTCTCTCCAGCAGTCCAATTCAGATCATGTTCCCTTGTCCAAAATGCTTGCAAGAATTCCCATTGCTAACAGGATTAAGGACATATTCAAGGCCTTCTGCAATATGGTCCCACGCTTCCTTTCCAAACTAATTAGCCACAACTCTTATGCTCTTGCCAAATGGGATGATGTACAATTTCTCAATATTTCATCCTTTTCCTGCAAATGTTTCTGTGCATGTTATCTCCACCAGAATGTCTTTTCTCTGCCTTTGCTACTTATCCTTCATGAGTCATCTTAAAGCTTATTTATTTCATTATTTCCCAATTAGGTGATTCTTAGTTTTTGAACTCCACTGTGTTGCATTTTTTTGAAGTAGCAAGAAATTCCAGGTATTAGGTCCTCACCTAATGTTGTAAGTTACTTAGCACAATGCCAGGTACTTCCTGGGTATATTGTGCTAAGTAACTTATATTATTTTATGTGACCTCCAACAACGTTATTATTATAAGTAACTTATAATATTATTTTATGCAACCTCCAACAACCCTTGGAAGCAAATATGATTATACCTCACTTTGCAGTGAGGACATATCACATGCTGGGGTCCTCAGGAAGCTGACCCTGAGTTTAGAATGCAGGATGCTTATTAAGAAGTGCTCTTGGGAACAACACCTATGGGAGCAAACAGAAGGAAACAAACATGGACAAGGGAAAAATTGAGCTGCCATGTAGGCCCATGACAACCTCAAGAGATCCCAAGGGGAGACAGAATGGCCCTTCAGAGTTGTCTTAAATTGGGCTGAGATGTCCAGGACTTTATATAACTGCACCAGCCTGTCATCAGACATGAATCACCCCAAGAAGTGACATGACTTGGAACCAGGCTGGTGAAGACTGCCCATAGCTCTTCCAGAAAAGGCAGTAAGTGTCTCCCTGAACAGAGATATGGGTGGTGCATCTTAATTTCCACTCCAGGAAAGATGGTAGCTGTAGGAAGATTAGACAGTGGCTCAAGGCCATCTAGGAAGTGACTGTTGATGCTTTTGAAGCCTGGTCTGACTGTGAAGCCTGTGTTGGGACCCAGTGCTCTGTACTTCCCTTCTCCAGACACTGACAACGGCTCCTATTATAGCAAACCCCATACTGTTTTATGGCCTTACTAGGCTGTAAACTCAGAGATTGTGCCTGAACAATCTTCATTGTACACAAAAATGTTTATAATGACATTCAATTAAAGATTTCATTGTGAAATGTCAGTCGCAAAAGTCATTTTGATGAAGAAAAGGCAAACAATTTAATACCAAATTTTGTTTCATAATGAATAGCAAGAAAATTGCAAATTAGCTGACTCTCAGTTGTACCTCTTATAGGGTTTATTAGTGTACACTTGGCAATGTGGTCCCTTGGGACCTAAGAAAGTGGTCAAGTGCAATTACTGATCTCAAAGTCAGTGTAAATTGCTAGGAACCATCAGCTGCCTCTTGGGATCAGGGAAGTAGGGAGCCTTGGAAACTAGAAGGTATTAATACCAGCACCACTGCTGATATAACCCTGCCCTGAGAGATATTGAGTCAATCTGTTTATTCTGCATATTCCTGATTATGCTGCACAGCAGGCTAGAAATATTGATGAGCAGTAATTTCTAGCCTAATGGATAGCTGGTAGAAAGGTGGAGGTACAGGACGTCTGATCTCTAGGTAATAAGTGTGGAGAGAAATCAGCCTGGAAGGCTGGACATTGCTGAGCTAATGCTTGGCTGATAAGTCACCTGGGGGAGGACCTATGGGGACACAGGTCCCTAGAATGCTGCAGATGAGAAGAGATGGGCAGTGGGTTGATTAAAGAGCATAACTCATCCTTCTTGGACAGCAGAGGACAAAAACCAGTTGTTACCCTAGAGACAGATGGCTCAGGGCAGAAAGGCCTATTCTTTTTAGGGTTGTAGTCCGGTAGTTGTGCCTTCTGGTGGTGATAATGTGTAAGCACCGATCACGTCACAGATGCTGAGAGCCATAGAGACAGAGGTGGGTGGCACTGTCCAGAGGCACATAAAGATACCCCTTCTTTACCCTAGTATTCCATCTATCCCTGTTTCTCCTTGGAATAAGGGAAAGGATGGCCCTAGAGTGGAGTGGTTAGGAAACCACAAAATGAAGATTCAGGCCTTGATGGTTTGACTCCAGAAGCTGATCTTTAAGTGCATGACCTTGGATGAGTAACCTAATATCTCTAAGTTTCATTTCTTCACCTACAGAATGGGAATAATCACCGGTTCAACATCATAAGCTTATCTGGGGGATTAAATGTGTTAAAATAATGCAAAGCACTGAAAAGAGTACCCAGAATACTTTAAGTGCTAACTAAATATTAACAAAGGTAATGAAGACGGGGAAGACCAGCTCCTTGCAAGAGGCTGGATGTAAGATCTGTTTTCTGAGCAGGGGTTATCTGAATGCCTTTATTTCATCATCTTTTTGTGTCCTGTGGCACCATGTGTTGGGAGCAGGAAAGAATGTTCAGCAAGCCTAAATTGATTTTCATTCTGAGCTAACAATATACCCTGGGAGTAGATAACTCACTTCTGATTTTCCGCGTTTGCACAATAAGCTCAAGCTGCCCCATGAGCGGCTATCCCATTCCTCTGCTCACTCATGAAAGTAGAATAAGGGGCTGGGCGTGGTGGCTCATGCCTGTAATCCCAACACTTTAGGAGGCCGGGGCAGGTGGATCACTTGAGGTCAGGAGTTCAAGACCAGCCTGGCCAATATGGTGAAACCCCATCTTTACTAAAATTACGAAAAAAATAGGCATGGTGGCAAGCGCCTGCAATCCCAGTTACTCGGAGGCTGAGGTGGGAGAATCGCTTGAACCTTGAAGGCAGAGGTAGCAGTGAGACGAGATTGAGCCACTGCACTTCAGCCTGGGTGACAGAGTGAGACTACATCTCAAAAAAAAAAAAAAAAAAAGTAGAACAAGGAGGGGGAGATGTGCCTAAAAGAAGGTGTCTTCTCTAATTGCCGGTGACATTTGCTCAGGGAGGGATAAACCACAACCACCCTGTTGTTCTCTGAGAAACCTTAGGAAGCTTCTCAGAGATACACAAAAGCCCAGACATTGGACTCAGGCCCTAAATTTTCATTTTGCAGCTTCATCCTCTATTAGATGTGAGAGTTTAGGCAAGTGACTTAACCTCTCTAAACCTCAGTTGCCTCATCTACAAAGTGTGGGTAACAATTCCTTTTCGGGGCTGTTACAGTAGAGAAATGTCTTTAAAAACTGGGGAAATAGAAATATGACTAAGTGTCATATACTGAATGCTCACTGCACTGTTATGCTCACAGTAGTGGAAGCTGGAACCTGGGACCACTTTTACTAATTGTGTTCACCTGAGGACACTTACATGCTGAGTCCCTTCCCTGGCATGGACAGTAGCTGGTTTTATACTCGTCCTAATGGCCTAACTGTGAACTGTGCTACAGAAATGTAGACAAGGGAGTTTAGGATGTCATTGTCCTCCTTCACTAAGCAGAATAAGCGTCTCAGGGGGCAAGGACCCCATGTTTGTCCATGGTTCCATAGTTGCATCCCCTTTAGTGCCTTTGATGTGTCTGCATGTGTGGGGCTCAGCTATGCAGACATCAGGCCAGTAAACTGAACTTCCCATGGGCTCTAGCTTCTTCCTGCTGGGTTTTTGTTTGTTTGTTTTTTGTACAAAATTCCCCTTTCCGTGAAATTATTCAAGGAGAGAAAAGGTACCCAGGCAAGAGGAGAAACTGTGTGCACTCACTTCCACCAGGGATTTTTTGATGACTCGGCCGACGTCCCTCCTCCACTCAGGGATGTCTGGGTTGTAGTCATCCAGGTTTGGAGAAAAGGACAAGCGAAGAGACCGGAATTCCTCTGCGGATATAACAGTAGATAGATTACTTTAAGTCAAATAGTCCTGTCAAGAAGTTTAGACTTTTTATTTTATACAAAATGGAGGGTCCTTCCCCTTCACACTTACCATAGAGACCTTTTTAGAAGGCATGTCATTACCCTGTGAGTATCTCACCAGCCCCTTCTTTTCTTTTTGTTTTTTTTGTTTTAAGGAGCAGAGAGCTTAATAGGCAAGAAACAAGGCAGAAGGAAGAAGGAAGAAGCTCCCCTGTACAGAGACAGACAGAGGGGGCTCCAAAGCTGAGAGAGGAGAGCCCCCCAATCCCCCTTTAACCTCTTTCCCCCCTTTCCCCCTTCCTCTCCTTTCCCCTCTCTCCCCCTTTCCCTCTTCTCCCTTCCCCACCTTTCCCACCTCTCCCCCTCCTCTTCCCCCTGCACTCCCCCACCACAGGCAGTGTGGCCTTGGATACCAGCCAGTTATATGAGGAGGCAGTGTCTGATTTCCACAGGGCTCAGGGGATTGGTTTGACCAGGCATGTCATTCATAATGTAGACGGGGAAAAAACTGGCCCTCCCACTCTAGCCTTTTAATATGCAAATGCAGGGTGCCACATTGTCCTACACATGTAGGGATGTGTGGGGGCAACCATGTTGCCAGCCACATGTGAGGGCAAGGGCAAGAAGAGGGCGGGGAAGTGCCATGTTTGGTTAGACCCAGTTTTTGATGGCCAGCATTTGCATATCAAAGGTTGCCAGCCAGCTCTAAGAGCTGGCAGCCCTTTATTTTCTAAACCAAACCTCTAACTTTGTTCCATGCCTATCTTTGCAGCCTTTGCCCATTATTCCTAGTTCTAGGTTCTGTACTCCTGGATAATAAATGATCTGGAGCAACCTGAATGCACGGCAGGTTTATGACCCTGGGCCTTTGCACATACTGTTCTTCTGCCTAGAATGTCCCATTCTCCCCACTGTCCATGAACAAAATATTCAAGCTCTAGTTCAAGTACTCCCTGGCTCACTACCCTCCCCCATCACATTTTAATTTTCTTTTATGGCACTACTCTGTTTTGTACATACTTTTATTACTATTATAGGATTATGGAATAATTATTATGATGATTAGATATTTATAATTATCACTGTAATCATTCTATTGCTATATTTTGTTTGCATGGAAGTTTCATTTAATGGAATTTTATGTTATTCAGGGATTTTCTTCATTGTCTCTGTAGCACCTGAGTTAGTCTGGTTCTCTAGGAAGTAAGATGGTGATTACACAGACAAGGATTATATGAGGGAAATTCTCTGTGAGAGAAAGTGGGCAGGGAGCCACAGGATTCAGGGAGAACCATCAGACCACCGTGCATGCATACAGGAAAGTCAAAGAGAGGAAGAAAGAGTGGGTGACTACTCAGCAGTCTGAGGAAGGTTCAGTAAGCTGTTCAGGTGTTTGGAGCCAAAGTCAGCTGACAGAGGAGTCCCCTGCATCCCAAAAATGGTTCAGCCTTAGTATCCCTGCTATACTCTGTCATTGGCAGGGGTAAGTCCCTGGAAGGTGAAGCCCTAGCCCTAGCTTGGTGATAAGCTTCAGAGGACAGCACTGGTGGCCTTGGTCAATTACACTCTCCAGAGCTGGATGTCTGTGAAGCCCATTCTTGTGGCCTTGACACCCCTAACCCAGCATAGTGTTTGGCACATAATAGATTCAGATCATATGGCTCCCCTAAAACCTGCCAGTGCCTCCACATTGCATTTAGAATAAAATTTAGATTCTTACCACAGCCTTCCTGCCCCCACATCACCTGGTGGGGACTTCCTTTCTTTCCTCCTGTCCTAACTGGCTTTCCTGCACTCTCTGTGCTCCAGAACCTGTACTTCCCTGTGCTCCTCAATTCTGCTGGCTCTGTCCATACCAGCTTTCTCTACTTCACTGGACTGTAGCAAACTCCCCTCTCATCATTCAGTCTCACCCCAAGAGGTCTTTCCAACCACCCAACCTCAGGTAGACTCCCTTTCACCATCCCATGCTCCCCTCATCACTGGACGCTCTGTGTCTTTTTCATACTCAGTGCTATTTAAATTATTTTGTTTTCATTGTTATGTCCTTCAAACTGGAATATAAGCTCAATCAGGATGATGGCTCTGTGTTCCTGGCCCTTGGGACAGTGTCTAGCACATGGCAGGTTTTCATTTACTATCTATGAGTCATTTATAATTAAAAAACATTTGTTGAATAAATGTATACTTAACTTATGGTGGAGGCTCCTGGAAATTAATGCATTTATTTATTTAATAAACATTTTTTATGTTAAGCACACCCTTTTGTTTCATTAGGAGCGCTTAGAAGTGACGTTAGGGATGCCAGTTTACCTTCAGGAAGCATAAAAGCTCACTTGGACATTTCCTAACAATGCTAAGAAGTTATCAAACACATGTTTTGAAGACTCTGACATTATAAGTTATGTTTTCATGGTAGTTAATATATTCCAAAGAGGTATTGTTCAAAGCTTGACTATTTTATGAGTCACTGATAGCCTATGTGAATATTACCTGATGGAGAACAATGAAATGTACATTAATTAAATAGTGTGGTAAACAGCAGTGCCAAAGAATCACCCATTAAGTCCTCACTTTTTGCTATGAAGATACAAGTTTATATCATTCTCACTTTCTCTGTACCTCTTACCAAATTGCAGAGACTTCATTTACAAGGGAGAATGTTTATCTTAGTAAAAGGACACAAATGAGAAAATGATGCAGCTCCGTCGGTAATTACTTAGCATACTAAACAGCATGGCAGGGAGGGGGCAGGGAAACGTTGTACTTAAGTTGATTCAAGAAATAGGGGATGGGTGTGGGAGGACGGAAAAGGGTAAACACCAATAATATATATTTTTTGCAGCTGTTGAGAGAGATTCTACACATTTGCATATTTTAATTTACAAGCAAACCTGTGCCCTGGAGCAAATTAGAAGAAACAATGCAAACTAGATTTTCTTTCTTTTAATTGATTGTGTCGCTTTGGGTAGACAAACCTTCCCCTGTCAATTTCTCAAATGTGATGCTTTTTTCAGTCCTATCATGACAAGTCTTCATGTTCCTGTCAATCTCACTAAACTTCAAACAAGTTTCTGTTTCTTCCTGACTGTAAGCTCCTGGACACGCTTTTCTTAAGAGTATTCTGGAAAACTTACACTTGTAAATTCCTTCTCTGTCCCTTGAGATGTAAATCTTCTACAACTCATGAATGTCCTTCTCAAGGATCTGGGAACCATTCCTTTGAAATGACATCAAGAAAGATAGCACCCCTCCCTATCTCCCTGTCTGTGCTTAAGAGTAGGAGACTGACTTCCTTAAGCAGCGATTAACTCACACAGATGGTCTAATCACACTGAAAACCCACATGCTTCCTAAAGTCCTCCAGTATTTTCCCACTAGCTAACCCCAGTGTTTACAAATCTTCCTGCCTTTTCTTTTAGTTGGGTTCAATCTTTCCTGTTTAACTTTGCCTGGTGCAACTTTTATTTAAGGAGTCACACCTGTCATTAAAACTTTCTGATCATGGAGCCAGGTGTGGTGACTCATGCCTGTAATCTCAGTACTTTGGGAGGTTGAAGAGGGAGGATCGCTTGAGGCCAGGAGTTTGAGACCAGCCTGGGAAACATAGGGAGACCCAATAACTTTCTGATTATGTATCTGAATCTCTGGATAACTCATCTGGCCGAAGACAAATTAAGGATGGCTGATGGTGCAGGAATTTGCTTAGAAGAGGAAGACAACCTTGTCCAATCTCTTAATGAAGAGACATATGATAACCTATTTTTATAAAGACGGATTCACCCTTGGGTGATACCTTTAAAGAAATTGTAGAAAGAGGAAGAAGCAAACATAGCAAGGCATGGGAGGTGCTTACAAACATACCCTCTGGATTCAGAATTCTTAGCTCTGTTTATTATACTTATCTCATGTTTTCTCATCTGTAAAATGCATAATTATAGAATATTTCTCATAAATCTGAGCAGACTTAATAAAGCAGATCAAACCAAGTGCTTAGAACAGATGCCAGTGGCTAGTAAAGTCTTCATCAATGTTAATTGCTATCACTACCACCATTGTTATTATCATTATCTGTCACCAAACAGCAGAATGACTTTAATCCAGTAATTCCCTATGTCTGGGCCATAATTTCCTATCTATAAAATGTGGGCTGGATGAGATAAGGCCAAGATTTAAGGTTATCTCCATGATTCTAATGACATCACCAACATGCATTACCAAGAAGACATCTGTTGGGCTAACAGGTCAGTGCCCATTAGAGCAACCTGTGACGTCCAAGAGGGAGAGAAAGAAAAAAAAAAAAAATCCAGTGGAAACAAATGAGAGTCAGTTAAGTAGGATAGTTTCAATGCATAGGCCCTGAGTCTAGATGGGTTGGGTTGCAAACCCAGCTGCACCACTTGCTAGCTGGGGCAAGTTATTCACCACTCTGAAAAAATGGGGGTCATAATATCATCTGCTTTACGCTTCGTAACAACTAGGGTTGTTATGAAGAATAAATGCATTCCCAGCACACAGAAAGGAGATGGAGAAGGGAAGAAAGGCAGACTTTGCCGCACTCTACACAGTCACTGTTTGACTGCCTTGTACCTCCCTAATGGGACATTGGTAGGAAAATCACAGCCCTGGTTTATTTCTTATTATCTGGGCTGATCAAGCCTTTCAGGAGGCAGGGAGAGAGAAGAAATTATAAAATCTAACACCCAGCCATGAAAGGAATAGTGTTAAGGCCTTTTGATCCTTAGATGTGTTCAAAGTTGCTTACAAATTATTTTCTGATTTTGAACGTCAAGTTCGCAAGATGAGCATTAACAGAACCTGACTCCTCACAGGACAATCCAGTTCCAAATTATCTCATCAAAATCAATTGATTCTGGAACTGGGCAACTGATATTATTTGGACCACAAGCTAGGCTGTCTGTCTCTCTCTTGCTCTCTCTCTCTCTTTCTGTTTTTCTTTCGAGATGGAGTTTCTCTCTTGTTGCCCAGGTTAGAGGGCAATGGCGCAATCTTGGTTCAGTGCAGCCTCCGCCTCCCAGGTTCAAGTGATTCTCCTGCCTCAGCCTCCTGAGTAGCTGGGATTACAGGAATGTGCCACCATGCCTGGCTAAATTTTATATTTTTAGTAGTGATGGGGTTTCACCACGTTGGTCAGACTGGTCTCGAACTCCTGACCTCAGGTGATCCATCGCCTCGGCCTCCCCAGTGCTGGGATTACAGACGTGAGCCACCATGCCCAGCCTCTCTTGCTCTCTTTATCATACTCCTTCCCTCCTCCCTCCTTCTGCCTCCTCCTCTCTCTGCACAGCATTTCCTTTTCCTATGTAATTTCCACTTCTTAGATTTCAAAAACTAATTTTTTCAGGATTCATATGTACCATTTCCATATTAATCATAAACATTTTTGCCATGTACTAGTAACACTTAGTGCATATCTATATGACTATCTTTCTATGCAGAAAGAGATTTACCAAAATGAAATCAATCCATCAAGTGTTTTTTTCTTTCCAGTTTTCAATCAATGACTCCATCTTTTCATTTCAGTACATTTTCATTCCATCTAATACTGTGACCATATTCAATTTCCCCAACTGATCACAAAATTGTTCCATAGAGCCGTTTGTCCAAATATCCAGTCTGTGGCTATGCACGGCATCTAATTGTTATGACTCCTCCATCACTCTTAACCTAGCAGAGAATTTTTTTCATGATACAGATTTGTGGAAGAGATTTTTAAAGTATTTAGACAATGGCAGATTTCCCTTATTAATCGAGAATTTTAAAGTTGAACTTAAAAAAAAAGAGATTCAATATTAGCTATTTTATAGCTATTAGTATTCAAATATTACTACCACTCTAAGTGAAATGAGTTAGGCTTACACATCCTAAAATCCACTTTACCCTATGAGTGAGTGAATAGTCACTCTACCTCTAAGAAAACCATTTCTGGATCCCGTCACTGTTTTACCAGTGATTCGAATTTCCCTGCAGGAGGAGATGAGACTTGCCTCAGTTCTTTCTCAACTACTGCCCTCCATTCTCCAGGTAAAAGTCACAGCTGAGGGATGGTCTCGGGAATCATGGTACAAGAGAACCTCCTCTGAGCATGAAGACAGCAGCAGATCCACCGAGATGGGCACTCACCATATACTGCGATGGTCTTTGTGTCTTGTAGGATGGCATTCCCAGCTGAGACCTGTACTGTGATGGTATTCATTCCTTCCGAAGTAAATCTGAAAGATATGCTTCCCTCCAAGGTGATCAAAGGCTAAAATAAACAAGGGCCCAGAGTGAAGGGAAAGCTCTTTAGTTTAGTTGAGACAGCCGCTAACTCTGAGCCAACAATGGGCTGTCTAACCCAATAGAGGCTCTTCCCGATGGGAATGACACTGGGTCCCTCTATGCCTCCCCATCATCTCTAGTACAAAACAGAAAAGAGGCTATCGAAGCAATGACTCCAAGCAAGTCTGCCTATTCATTGTGAATTCCTGATATCACCCTGATTCAGGGCTGGGGAGATGGATAGGTCTTGCTTGCTGGTGGGATATATGTCTCTCTTTATGCATGACCTACTCATATCAAGCAGATCCCTAATACAAGGAAACGATCAAAGCAAATGAGAATGGGGGCTCATATTAATCCAGATGAAAGCAGCAGTCACTGAAAATCTATAAGCTGCCATGTGTTCATCTCCAGGGTGTACGATTTCTGTAGAATTACAATGGAACATGAATCCGGTACACCAAAACCATACACTAGTTAAACAGCAGTGGCCTTGTGTGCTGGCCCCCTCTGAGAAGCCTCATCAGCAGTTTCCTGGAAGTAGCTGCTGTGGAAACAAGCACTAATTGGATAGTGGTTTGAGGATTCAAAACAGAAAGAAAAGAAAAAAAATTTGGAGTGGTGCCTGCAATACAATCGAATGCTGGGGTCCTAGAGGAGAATATATTAGCCTACTGACCTCCCTCGACACACTCCTCACAAACATTTATTTTCCATCTTTTCTTAATGAATTTAAAAATCAAAATTCATTTAATTCCCTGTATGGCAGAAAGAAGACTAAAGCCCAGCATGAGAAGCCTTTTCAATGCGGTCTCTCGAGAATCTGGTTTTCTTTTTAAAGGAAAAATTTAAAAAATAAAAAAAAAATAGGAGGTACAAAAGAAAGTTGTTCAGTACATTCACCTTCTAGTACTAGTTTTCAAGGAGATGACATAGATTCCTCCTCTTCCACTATGGATAGAGGGCCCACTATGGGCTGAATTTACACGCATAGTTTCAGATGAAATTAAAAAGGGTCTCTTTTCAGTTTACTTATGTTTGCAGTAGAGGTGAGAGGTTCTTTCCACTGTTTAGGTTCCTCCTGGGCCTGTGCAAAATTACGTCTCCAGCTAAAGCCAACTTTCAGCTCCAGAGTAGAAAAATGTTTTTATTAAAATAAGAGACATAGTATTTGAAGAGCAAAGTCACCAAGTGAAAGAAGCTCTGCTGGAAGATGGAGGGTTTCAGTCCAGAGCAGTTCATCCCAGTGTCCTTTGGGGCCTCAGCTCTATTGCCTTACATTTGGAAGCACTTTAATTTCTGAGAATGGAATGAGTTCAAAACTGAAATAGACCATGCAGCCTGGTGCAGAGGCAAGAAAAATTAATGGAGGCATCAGAAGGCCTTAAATTTGGCCTCTTATGAAGCAGCTGGAAGAGATCAAAGCAAACCACTCCAGCTGCATCACCCTCACTTTTCTCATGTGCAAAATGAAAGCCTTAGAGTAAATAAGGTGTTAGGTCTCTACTAGATTTAAAATTGCCACTGACTTTTGGGCATAGGGAACATTTGGAAAAACACATAAAAGTTAAAGCTGACCTAAATAAATAAGAGTTTTTATTTAGGGGGAGGAGGCCGTCGGGGGTGGGTTGTAATGGAAATCTATTGCTTGCACCTGTCCAGCATCCAGTTGCTTTGTTTTCTTTTGGTAATCACTTCTCCCCTTCTGCAGTTCATGTGCTTCCGAGGAGACTGACTTCCTCACCTCTCTCTCCACCCCCAGCACTGTGATCAAGGCCTGGCCAGTAAGACTCAATTTCAGGACTGCTGTTAGAACTTTCAGGAAATAGAGTTTAATTTCTCTGTTAAGCTAGGGCTGCTAAGAGTCACTGCAAAGACAAGGGCAGCTGGAGAAAAACGTAAACATAGAGGAAGGCAGAGATGAAACGCAGGTGAAGAGGGGCCAGAGAGAGAGAGAGAGAGAGAGAGAGAGACAGAACATAATGATGAGATACTTAAGCACCAAGGGAGCTTGTTGTCCTTGAAGCTATGACTGCTTCTACCCTCTTGGGTTCATAAGCCATTTCATTCCCTTCTTTGCTTCAGGCAGCATAATTTGAACTTCTGTCCCTAGACCGCACGTGGAACATGTGGAAGGTGAACCCACCTCCGTGTTGTTTCCGTACCACCACACATAGGTGAGGGTGCCCACTTGGCTGGGCCACAGCACCGCTGTTGCATTGACCTCTTTGTTCTTTGTGGTGACAAAGGGAAGAGACAGGTGCACGTGCTCCAAGGGACCTAAGGCACAAGAGAAAGAGAGGCCATGGAGGGGGAAGAGCTTCCTCTGCTCTGTCCTCCCTGCTCTGAAGAGAACACACATTTACTCCTGAAGACCCCAAAACCTGGCTGCCATATTCCCTGAAAGAAGTGTTCAGATGCTTTCCCCACTTTGGAGAAAGAATACATTGAGCACAATTGCACCTTGACATTTTGCACTTACCAATCTTTCTACCAGTTCTAAAACCTGAGTTAGGTGTGTGTAAAAGTTAAAAAAAAATTACAGGTAATTTATGAAGTCCTTAAGAACAGGCATCATTTGAGATTTCACAAGGCGACGCAGTCTTTCCAAGAGGTTGTATCCTTGGGGGTGAACCAGAGTTGTGAAGACCTCATAGAATCCATGTTGGTGAAGGGTGGGTGGACAAATCTTCAAACCACTCTCCATGTAATTACCCTTTATTGTTTATTGGGTTTTAAAGGTCTGTATGTGAATGTGTTTGTGCATGTGTCTGCAAAGCTGTCTAGTTAGGTAAGCATGGCGTACATACTGTTTGCGGTTGAATTAAGTTCAGCAAGGACAGAGGGGTGTGTGTGTGAGTAGAGAGAGAGCTCTGTGGTTCTCAGAAGATGCTCACTTACAATATAGAATGATTTTATCTACAGAGGCCTATAAGAACTGGAAACCTTAATTAGATGTACCAACCTCACAAAGATATGAATGCCCTCTTCATAAAGAACCACTAGGACCTTTCCTTTGACCCTCAATCTTCTCTTTGAGTCACTGTTTGCAAGCAAAATGCAGCTTCCTATGCATTTGCCATCCCCATCTTGGTCCCACGAGATGGAGGAGACAGAGAAACACCTTGGGCCTATTCACTTGGTTTATTACCTCCTCTTCTGCTTGCCCTTTAAATGTGTTTCCCAGAGTCGTGTTGAGACTTTTTCACTCTCTGCACACTTTTCTACTAGGCAACACCATCCGTACCTTAACCTTCAAATGTCAAATGCATGTGAAGGGCTTGAACACCCCTTTCTGGGCTCTAGACTCCTTCTGGGGGGGTCTAGACTTCTTTGGCTCCAGCAGTCAAATGTTCTCAAGGACCCTGTTATTTCCCTCTCCTGTATTCTCTACAGTTTGGTGATTAATGCTGATATTCATCCAGGAGCCCACTACAGAAACAGAAAGTCAATTTCAATTTCTTTTTGTCATTCACGTCCATTTAGGAAACCGACGATTTGGTTCCATAAATATCTCTAAGATATTTATCTCACCCTCCCCAATCTGGCGCCCTGGTTCATACTCTAAGCACTTTCTCATTTCTCTTCCAGATTTTCCTGCCTCTAACCTTTCACCACCTGAATCCATCCTCCAAATGGCCGCAACAGTAATTTTTCTAGAAAGCCAAGCTGATCATGTTATTCATGCTTGTTCAAAATTAAGATTCCCATGATCCAGCTGGGTGCGGAGGCTCATGCCCATAATCCCAACACTTTGGGAGGGCGAGGTAGGTGGATCACGAGGTCAAGAGGTCGAAACCATCCTGGCCAATATGGTGAAACCCCATCTCTACTAAAAACACAGAAATTAGTTGGGCGTGGTGGTGTGTGCCTGTAGTCCCAGCAACTTGGGAGGCTGAGGCAGGAGAATTGCTTGAATCCAGGAGGCAGAGATTATGGTAAGCCAAGATCACACCACTGCACTCCAGCCTGGTGACAGAGCGAGATTCTGTCTCAAAAAAAAAGATTCCCACGATCCATTTATAATAACGATAGCTAATACATATTGATTTAAAATTTGTGAGACAGAAGACAGAGGCTGAAAACTTCCTGAGGGTAAGAATTCTTCATATTTATCTTCATACGCAAAGACTAGCAGAGTTTCTAAGACATAATAGATGCTCAAGTATTCACTAGGTAAAACAAATGATATAACTTCCCATGTCTGCCTTTGTTCACGCTACTCCCTCTTTAGAGAATGAAAAGTCTGGTGATCAGCATACAGAATCAAACTGATCTTCTGGTTCATAAAGCATATGTTGAGAAGCAGTTGATTATAAGCCAGAACAGTTCAATGAAATAATAAAAGGGTATCATTTACTGAGTGATGACTACAACTAAATGTTCTGCTAAGGACTCTGTTTTTCTTATTCTATCCTCATGAAATAATCTTACGAAGTAGGCACTCATATCCTCCCCGTTTAGAGATGAACAAAGTAAGGTGACTTTCCCTAGGTCATACAGCTAGGAAACATCAATTCTAGGGTATGAACCAAAGCAGTTTGGTTTCAGAGCCCTTGTTCTGGCCAGAGGACAAGTGTTTGAAAGAACCTTTCCAGTCAAACAAAATAGCTATTAAGAGTTGCTGCTTCCTGATAGGTAAATATGTCCCAGGCATTGGAAAATGCACTTTCCACCTGGTTTCATTTATTGCACAAGTCTTGCTGTTTCCCCATCAAATGGTTTGTTCCAGCAAGCCACGTCTTGGTCCACCCCAGGGCCTTTGATTCTATACAACTTTCTTATGGCACCTGTCAGTCTTCAAGTCTCAGTTCCAGCATCCCCTCCTCTGTGAAATTCTTCCTGAGTCCCTGGATCTGAGTTAAATGAATCCATTAGAATACAATGACTAGATAAGCTATGCTAGAAATGCTAATTCCATTCTAAAGAGGCTCACTTCGTCTCTCACATTTTTTTTTTTTTTTTTTGAGACAGAGTCTCTGTCACCTAGGCTGGAGTGCAGTGGCACGATCTCAGCTCATTGCAACCTCTGCCTCCCAGGTTCAAGCAATCCTCCTGCCTCAGCCTCCTGAGTAGCTGGTACTACACACACACGCCACCATGCCTGGCTTTTTGTATTTTTAGTAGAGACAGGGTTTCACCATGTTGGCCAGGCTGGTCTCGAACTCCTGACCTTGTGATCTGCCCACCTCGGCCTCCCAAAGTGCTGGGATTACAGGCGTGAGCCACTGTGCCCAGCTGAGCATTTTTTAAAAGTCATAAACCAGAGTAAGAACAATACCTATATGTCATTGTCTCAATGAAAAAATTCAAATCTTGTTAGTAAAACATGGTAATTCATTCACTCAGTCTTTTTGTTTGTGTTTTTTGTTGTTGTTTTTGAGACAAAGTCTCCCTCTGTTGCCTAGGCTGGAGTGCAGTGGCACGACCTTGGCTCACTGCAACCTCCCCCTCTCGGGTTCAAGCAATTCTCCTGCCTCAGCATCCCAAGTAGTTGGGATTACAGGGATGTCCCACCAAATCCGGCTAATTTTTGACACCCGGCTAATTTTTGTATTTTTAGTAGATACGGGCTTTCACCATGTTGGCCAGGCTGGTCTTGAACTCCTGACCTCAAGTGATCTGCCCACCTCGGCCTCCCAAAGTACTGGGATTATAAGCGTGAGTCACCGCGCCTGGCCCTCACTCAATAGTTTTTGAGTCCTGTGATCTGTTGGGTATTATTCTAGGTGCTGGGGATACCTGGCATTTGGTGGAGCTTAGGTATTTCTGAGGGAGGAGGGTGCTGGATGCATAAAGCAGAGGTAGGTGATAGGGTGCTATTTTTGAAAGTGTGTTCATGGAAGGCCTCTCAGAGGAAATGGCATTTGAGCAGTGACCTGAATAAAGTGAAAGACAGCACGAAGGATCTATTTGGAAAGTTCCAGGGTGAGGGTAGAGTAAGTGAAAAGACCACGAGGAAGAGGGGTGCCTGCCATGTTTGAGAAATGTTCTTTTTTCCTTTTATTTTCACATAACCTCGTTTTGGTCAGTGACGACTTTTATTTTTTATTTTTATTTTTATCTTTTTGAGATGGAGTTCAGTGGCACGATCTTGGCTCACTGCAACCTCTGCCTCCCAGGTTCAAGTGATACCCCTGCCTCAGCCTCGCGAGTAGCTGGGATTACAAGGACCTGCTATCATGCCCGGCTAATTTTTGTATTTTTAGTAGAGGTGGGGTTTCACCATGTTGGCCAGGCTGGTCTCGAATTCCCAACCTCAGGTGATCTGCCTGACTCAGCCTCCCAAAGTGCTGGGATTACAGGCATGGGCTACCGTGCCCAGCCAGTGATGAATTTTGTAAGAGAAATTCAAGACACATAGTATGTTGGCCTTGTAGGCCCTGAAATACGTATGTGTGTGTTTGTATAAGTTCACGCTTACATGCATATATGTTATATATGTATACACATATGAAATTTATCTTTCAGATTCCCACAGCATCTTTTATTCATTTACTTTTCACGGGTTTAAAATACCTGGTTCCTGCTATACAAAAGCCTATTCTTTGACCATTTCTGTTCATCATCCATTAGGCAGTATACCCTAATGGAGCCACAGAGGTGAAACTCCAGACCCTGGAGGCCCCCAACTGGCTGCCTGCATTAAGTAGGGAGCTGAACGGGCAGATATGGCTCCTTCAGACAGGTGCCTGCAATGCACAAAAGGAACAGTAGGTGGCGCTACATCATTCCATATGAATCTTTCTGGAAAGGTGGTTGCAAGAATTGGGGAATTGTGTGAATTGGGTTTCCCTTCTCTTTTCTTGTTTATAGCCCTTCTGTGTGGCAGGAAACAACCGACTCCTGAGGCTGCACATTGCGTGCGCGCGCGCGCGTGTGTGTGTGTGTGTGTGTGTGTGTGTGTGTGTACCGGCTGCTCTGGCCTGCCTGCAGCATTTATGTTCCGGAGACCTTTGGCCACCTAATTAAATATTGTGCACATATCATATTGCTATCTGTCTGCAATGTTTAAAAAAGCTACTAGAAGAAATAAGAGTGATTCAAACCATAAAGTTGAGATCCTAAAACAGAGTTTCTCAAACTCCAGTGTACATAAAAATCATACTAATCTGTTCAAAGCAGATTATGATGTCATACTTCCAGGAATCCTAATTCAGTGAGTCTGGGATAAGACCCAGAACACTGCATTTTTATCGTTTAATTTGGGGGTAGGTGGCTCATTAAGTCACACTTTACAAAATCCTAGTCTGACATTTGCTGGTCAATAAAATGATGGTGTGAACAGTTGAAAAACTACATGGGTTTTCAAGCTACACAGATACTTTTACTCTAAGATGGGGCCAGAAAGTCTTCTGAACATGGCTCCTACATAAGGGAACAGCTAAGGGAAGTGGTTTAGGAAGGACTAGAAGATCCACCTTATCTTTTTTTTTTCTACTTCCTGTTCTGCAAGTTTGCAGCCTTCACTGATTTTTTTTTTTTTTCTGCAAGACTGGCTGCGACAGGGCAGCTTTCTGAGCAGAAATCTGCATGCTCTGTAAATCCTCTGCCCCATCCGACTGAAGGCAACACTGGCTGCAGCATGTGTCTCATTAGTTTGCAAACTAGCAGAGCACAGTGAATACTATCCCCAAGGAATTACTGTCAGGCTACAACAGATTACCACGTGCCCAGCAAGACCGGGCCCACTCCTGAAACACTAGGCAGGAACATCGGCTCCATTTGTTTCAGATGACCTTTGCAAACCCATCTTTTTTTTCAAACCCTCTGGTTTGGAATCAAATCACCTTTCTGCACTGGAGAGTGGTCAGAATGTGTATGTGAGACAGGCAATGGGCTTTCAGGATTGCCCCCCAGGGTAGGAATGGGGGAGGGGCAGAGGACAGGCTTGGTGAGCTAAGAGTTGCTGCTAATTCTACTCTCCCTCACAATCCACTAAGTCCAAATGTATATGCTACTTTATGATGATAGAAAAATCAAGTTTTACTAGGTGCCAGGGTACCATATATTTTGCTCGATGGGACTTTTGGGAATGAGATGAGCATCTGCTTGACAGAGGAGAACATCGAGGCTCAGAGAGACGGAGTGACTTCCCCAGGAGTTTGAACCAAAATCTGGACCTAGTCAGAATGCCCGACTTAGTCCAATGCTTTTTTCCCCCTACAAAGCCACCTCTGCACTTTGGCACCTACAGTCACTCATGACACCCTCTAGCTTTAAGATGCTTGAGAGTGTGACGCAGTCATGTTCTTGTTCTGACTTGCTTTGAGCGTAAAGTGATGCCAGAGTCACAGTGCTTCTCCAATCCTTGATTTCTCCATCTGAAAGACAAGGCCAGAAGTCTATTACGGTATAGATGTGAAGATGAGCAAAATGAGTTTGTGTGCATAGCAAAGCACCCTGGATCCTTTAGGAGGGAGGTACTAACCGGGCATGTCAGAATCTGCTGAAACAGTTATGACATGAGTTTATATGTATGTGAGTTAGCAAACAGCTTCAAACGTGACCTTGTTTTTAACACAATTAGTACCAAAGAGCCAGGCTTAGAAAAAAGTTCCATTATGTGAGGCATGCTTATCCAACCACTTAACCCAAGATGAGTCTACAAAATCAAAATCAGAACACGAAACATTCCATTACAAATTATCTTCCTCTAAGATTAAGGTCAAATATTTTATCCAATCAACTAGGCTAATGAAATGAAAGTATTGCAAGTGAATGAGAAACTGGTTTCTTTTAGAAGGGTTTCGGCAGCCCTTAATCTTGAGCAGAGACAATCTCTGTGTGTGTTGTTTTCCTCTCCAGAATTTTGTTAACTAGGGAGGAGTCTTGCAGGGGAGCAGTAGACACCTCGAGGGGTATGATCACACACATAGGAACGAGAAAAAGCCTACAGAGTGACAAAGAGGTGAAGCTATGGAAGATTCAATGGGAGACCCAGAAAATTTAGATCAGAAGCTGATACTGGCTTTTAAATCAGTATTTACATGTGATTGGACTATGGTAGATGTATAACAAATTTGTGGTGTACGGAACACAATTGTAATTTGTAAGGAAGCTAGTTCTCTGGCAAAATTATCCCTTATAGAATAAGCTATGAGATATGATATGATCTAGGTAGGAGCTATTCTCGGCAAATGTGCTGTCATTTTTTTTGCAAGTTATTTTTGTTACTAATCATTAATGTTTATGATGTAAAGAGTTAAGGAAGCCAGGCAATAGAAAAAGAACTCTCCAGGGGTCCTTAATAAATTCGAGTCTTCATAGTTATGGGTCTCTTCCCCATTGGTCATTCATTCATTCAAGACACTTTTAATGTTATATAAATACTGAAGATTGTCTCTATTTAAATTAAAACATTGGTCAGAATATTGTTAAATATTTTAGCATGACCATTTCTACGATACCATTGCTATCATTTCCCTACATACTAACATATAGGGGGGTATTATGTCTTAGTGAGTGGCAAGTCCTGAATGTCTATATAGGACAAGTCAGGGATGGCAGTTAGATGGAAAGGAGCCCCCGTGGTGAGTCCTGAACTATGTAGTTGTGCAACAAGCACACTGCTTCTATCCAAAATGTTTGTTTCTTCAAGATGATCTGTAAAGAGTAGGGGGTAGATGGTAAAAGCTATGGAGACAGCTCCTCCAATCCCAAGCCACTCTTGGCGCTGACACTGACTTTAGTTAGCAAGAGCTAGGATCCTTGCGGCAGGTGGACCTGAGTATGAAGCATGGTTCTGCTAGGTAGTAGGTCGGCCACTTCAAGCAAGTAACTTAAGCTCTCTGAACCTCTACACTTTTTGTAAATAGAGTTACTAATAGTGCGTACTTCACAGGACTGTTTTGAGAAGTGAGGTAATATACATTAAGAGTCTGTTTAGCACAAAGTCTGGAACATACTGTAAACTGTAGCCAAAAGTAGACAGACCGAGCTGGCACACTGAGAATCGTGTGTAACTTTGTCTAGACCTGAATAAAGGAGTGCATGTTTCTTTGAAGCACCTCTGCCATGAGAGTACAGGAGACAGAGATTAGAATTACTGACATGTTAGGAAGACTCAACAACCAAAACATCTCTTGGTCATTGCTTAATAGTCTTGCTCTCTCACTGGACCACAGCAGCTAAAAAAGAAAATGTTCTGATTGATACTTTCTGTATTCAATTTTGTTCCATGCGCAAGGTGCAGAGGAGAGGCATGGAGTAATGATGCCTGGCCTTCAGACTCTTGACTAAAACTTGATATTTGAACAAGGCCATTCATATAAAGGAGCTACTTTCATTTAAAGGAAACAATTTCATTAGTAATCAACATAAGTCCTATGACTGGGAAACCCCTTACACCTAACATATGAATGACACATGAGCACATATAACTTAGAAGTTATTATTGTCTCATCGTACTTACTCACATCTTTAGAATCCTCAATGAGGGAAAAGCTTTAGTATTTCTTGGAACTGTTTTCTACCATAGTTTCCTTAACGTTGTTTTTATACTCTTTCTCTCTACACCACCTTCTCTCTAACACCAAGTCATCCCAGATAGAAGCCCAGGAAACACATTTTTTTTTTAGAAAAGGAGTGAAACTCTAAAAGGATTATTAATAGCAACATATTATGAGAAGATAGAAATAATCAGATGGTGAGAAACTTATTTACTTGGGGTAATTCTCAATGCCTTAGATTGAGTGGTGCATGTGGATTGTTTACAACAATTTCCGACCCCCCTGCAAAACCAAATTTCTTTGTTTAAACCAAATAGCTCTGCAAGTTGCTCAGCCCCAGCCTCCAGATTCAAGTGTCGCATCTTCAAGGCACCTGGGGTAGGCAGGGGAAATGCAATGAGAATTTGAGGCAATCCAGAGAGTCCAGGATTATTCAAATTCTCTTTGATTGTCTTCTTACTCTTTCCTTATTTTGGTCTCTTAATCATTTCTTCCCCATTCCCCTTCTGCTAAAAGATAACGAGTGCACTTCTTCTAGATACAAAATTGTGAATTCGATTTGAAAGGACACAATGTTTAAGATAGGTCATAAACCAACAACAGTAATAACATACAAGTTACATGTAAGTACAGGACGGCGCTGTCAGAACCCAGACTGTTGTCCACCTGCACGGTCACACGGAAAATGCCCACGTTCTGATAGACGTGTTTGATCCCATCTTCTGTGGAGCTGAGATTGACATAAGACACCGCGATACCATCGCCGAAGTCCACTTGGATGAGTGTCCGCTGAACATCACCCTGAAAAAGAGCCCAACATCAGAGGGAAGAAGTCAGTGTTCAGCTGCTCCTGCCTAGGGGACTGGGGACTATGGCTTGTCCTAGTCCCTGGCTCAGGCATGACAGCAGCCCTGGCTCACTCCTACAGCTAGGAGCATCTGCCTGCCTTTGACAGAATCCCTGTGACATTCCCTGGCAGGCAAGAGTTTGCTATGATGGATACACTCCAAATCTGAAGGGCACCAACTACTATAAGTTTCAGGGATTTGAAAATTAATAGTGCTTCATTATCAGCTGCAATGTGATATTCAGTTCCTCCAAAGGCTTTGGTAATAGTCTTAGCATCCACAAGGATAAAAGGTGTACACACACAGCTTAAAAAATTTAGCTTACCTGGGTCAGGCGCAGTGGCTCATGCCTGTAATCCCAGCACTTTGAGAGGCTAAGGCAGGCAGATCACAAGGTCAAGAGATCAAGACCATCCTGGCCAATATGGTGAAACCCCATCTCTACTAAAAATACAAAAATTAGCTAGGCATGGTGGCACATGCCTATAGTCCCAGCTACTTGGGGGGTTGAGGCAGGAGAATTGCTTGAATCTGGCAGACAGAGGTTGCAGTGTGCCAAGATCGAGCCACTGCACTCCAACCTGATGATGGAGTGAGACTCCATCTCAAAAAAAAAAAAAAAAATTTAGCCTTCCTGACTGACGTGGTAATGGACCACTCCACTTCCTGTGTCTTCAGGACCACCCCTCAACCCGAATCCCCCTCGTTATTTCTCGTTCCCTAATTGTATCATAGGAAGGATGGAAGACACTTTTCCTGATATCTGATATGACACTGGACTCAGCACTGTTATTATTTGAGATAATAATGGTTAATTTTTTTATGCTTCAGCATTTCAAACTATCAAAATGATCTTATGTTATTCTTCACAGATTCTTAGTCTAGTCTGGAGAGAGGAGTAGGCAATCTTTTTTACAGATCTACTTTACAGATGAAGAAGCTGAAGTCAAAAAAGATGTCATCACTTGTTCAAGGTTAACACAGCTAGTCAGTGGCAATCCTGGGATTCTAACCCATCTTTCTGCACTTCCAAGTCATTCATTATAGAGAGAATATAGCACTGTGGGCAATCAAGGCTCTCCTGGGCATGAATTCTCATGTGCCATTAACAAGCTGGAAGACTTCATGCAAGTCATTCAGTCTCCTTCAGTCTCAGTGACAAATCTATGAACTGGGTATAATAATACCTTACTGTCTTAAAGAGCTGTTGTAAAAAACATGCAGGAAATGAATTACAGATTAATTAGTCATCTGTAAAATGCTACATAAAAATGACTGTAAATCAATGTAGCTGTAAAAGACCTACTATTGTCCCTTTAAAGCTTAATTGAAATTGTGTAGTTCCAAATTTCCCATGGGTAGGCAGAAGAAGATAAATTCTGCATTATAAAATCCCAGACCTGTAAAAAAAGAAATGGCCTTTGGAACAACAGTTTAGATTCTTAAGGAAAAAAGTTGCTTAGACCCCATTGACAAAAACCAGCTTCCTTCACACACAGTCCATCCTTTAACAAATTTTGTTGTTGCTGTTAGCCTTTCCCACTTTCAGGAAAGAAAAAAACAAAAACCTTTGAACTAGAAATGTATTTTCGATTAAGTAAGGTTCATATGGTATCACATTTTTTGAAAAGGCCAAGTTTAAAATGTTGACATTTAAAAGATTAATTCACAGGGAAAAGAAAAGTAGTTCAAATCCTATGAATCTGTGTGACTACTCCTCTGCTCTACGCCTAGCCAAGCATTGTATGTGGGACTCATAGCAGTAGACTCTCAGTAAGTACACAGGCACAAATTCTCCCCTAGGGTAAAAAGAGAAATTCCATTCAAAACTACAAAATAAATATCCTCAAGCCCAGATATTGTGCACTTACTTGAATTCCCTTCACTAATAAATATAAATGTCAACTATTCTTGCTGACGTGTCCTTCATTTAAACAACCAAAGTGGACTGATCAATTTCTCATTCTGTTTCCAGCTAGTTTCCACTCCTAGTTTTTAACAGAGTTGCCAGGAAGACGGCCCTAGGTGTGGGCATGGGGAAAGAGCCCACTTTTGAAGCAAGTATCTGAGGGAAATAGCAAGGATATCTGGGGTTATCCACAGAATAAAACAAGGAATGCAGTTTCCACTAGAGAGGGGGAGGACATGAGGGAAGAGGGAGACAGACAAGTTTAATGTACTTTGTGGCAACAGAGTGAGCATCAGGCAGGGCCCATCATTTGCAAACGGACAGGGGAGATTCACACCTTCAGTCACCTCTACTTCAGCCTCCACTGAGAAAGAGCAGACACACAGGTGGGAAGAATACAACTTTGGCTGCCATTGCTTGAGTCTACCTTGCCTTGCCCTTTCTGTCTGGTCTTCATCACTTCCCTTTTGTTGTCCTGCATCAAGACCAGTTACACAAAAGCCCTTCAATTTCTATCTCTCTTGATGTCTACTGTCTGTCTTGCTGCATTTTGTTTCATGATAGGATTCTTCATTCTCCATTCATGGAATGTTCTCTGCCTATATAACAGGTGAAAGGATGGAGCTACTCAAAGTTTGGACTAGTGCATTAGTAAGGTTTCCATTACAGAGTCAGGCTATTAGGGTGTTAGGTCAGGTATTTTACATATAATTATATAACAGATCATACTTTAGATGATAGAATCAAGTATTAAGTTTAACATGCACCTGACAGTCCCTGAAGACAAAGGCATGGAATTCTCCAATCAAATGTGAAGTCCCCAGGACCTCCTGATGTTGGGACAGACCTCTGGGCTTGGACTCTGCACTAAGAGATAAGAATGTCAAGGGGCCATGTATGACAGCAGAAGGCAGCAAATTATATTCCTGTTGTCACTTTCCACTAAAGGTGGACAAACTAGATTCCATGCCTTTTCCTTCAGGAGCTCTCAGGTGAGTGGTAAGACTAATACCACTGTAACAGCTTCATACTGGGGCTCATCTGTCATTAGATTCTGGTGTTTCCGGGCTCAAATAACTGCTAGAAGCAAGGATGCCAGCCACTTTCAGAGAAAAAGAAACCGAGCAAAGGGATGACAGCCCAAGTCCTAATAACTATTGACTAGGCAAACTCACCCTACCAACTCTCTGGTCATTCGTTCACCCAACTGTCAGATATTTATTGAGTGTCTATCTCATGTCAGTCACCAAATGGAAAATGTTATTAAGCAAGCAATAGCCAAACAAACAAAACAAATATGGCCTGGGCTTTCATGAGCTTACAGACCACTAGTGAAACACATGTACTTTAATTAACTAATTATGCAAATAAAATTATTGCAGGGTGACATGAAGGAAAGGTACATGGAGTTGTAAGCTTTTGCAATACACAGGACTAGAGAGCTGATCTGATTGGGAATTTCAAAGTAGGCTTCCAAAAGGAAGTGATATCTGAGCTGAGAATACCTGAAAGAAGCAGGTAAATTAACCAAATGGAGGAGATGAATGAATGAGGTACAACTGAGAGAGTGCAGGCCAGGGGAACAGAGGGAACAGATGTGCAAAGGACCTGTGGTAGAGGGAGATAGTACGGTTGAAGAAATTTAAAAAGAAGGAGGAAAAAGAGAGAGAGAACAAGAACATGTTACCAAATGAGGTTAAAGCAGAGAAAAATACCTTTCCGGACTTGTGAGTCAAATTCCTGATTTTTATCTTTTTCCTAAGAGCAATGAGAAGCCATTGAAGTGTTTTAATTTTTTAAATGTTTTTAAAATTTTGATTGATAATAATCACATATATTTATGGGGGTATATGTGATATTTCAATACATGTATATAATGTGCAGTGATCAAATCAGGGTAACTGTGACATCTATAACCTTGAACCTTTTTTATTTCTTTGTGTTGGAAACATTCAAATTCCTTTCCTCTATCTATTTTGAAATATATGATAAATTATTGTTAATGACAGTTAACACTGTACTGTGTTATAGAACATTAGAATTTACTCCTCCTGTCTAACTGTGATTTTGGACCCATTAACCAATCTCTCCCTACCCAGCCTCTTGTAGCTACCATTCTACTCTCCTATTCTGTGAGATCAACTTAATGATTCAAGTGTTCTAAGTAGGGGTTTAAGGGAAGATGGCATGATGATATTTTTAATTAAAAATGATCACTCTGGCTATGATATGGAGATGAACTGGAAGGGGATCCAAGTGTGCTGGAAAGCCAATTTGGAGGTATTCTAGGATAGATGATAGTAGATTAAACAAAACAAAACAAAACAAAAAAAAACAAACAAAAAAGCTCCAGCAGAAAATTATATGCACCTTTCTGTCAAAATTAATTCTCAGAGTTTATTGGTTTTGAAATCAGTAATTCTGAGCCTTTGATATCAACATCTCTTTTAGGAGTTTTATTTCTTAATCTTGATGTCCAACTACTACCCAAGATCCAGCACTGTTTTGAGGCCTCTGAGAGGATGCCCAGTACTGCTGCAGTCTGAGGTCTGTAGCCGATGCTGGGCTGTAGCGAAGGCTGAGGTCCTCTCATTCTGATTGTTGAATATTAGGTCTTCTTGTGGTCGGATTCATCTGAAGATGAACACTGCAGCACAAGTTGATGCTATTCTTACTTGGTTTTAATATGATGAAAAAGCTTTACCAGGATGCTTTAGGATTGTAAATACTAAGGTTGTAATAAGGCTGGGAATGGAAAGACTAAACTCATTGTTCGTGGACTGGAGCATAATCACAAACAAAAGTGTCATAATACATACGCAGACAAGATTAGCAAACTTCACTAGAAAAATGAGTTGCTGGGTGGTACTAGGATAGACTGTGTGAACTCCACGGGTCTGAGAAGTGTCTGGTTAATGGTTGTATCTTCAGTGCCTTAATGCAACGCCTGCGAATGATCCTTTTTAGTTCCATATAATTTGAAAATTGCACATTTCTATTGTGTTTGTCAAAATTCTTTCTTATATATTATCTCATGTGGATGT